TACTTATGTCAAACACAAAGCATACTTGTAATATTCGTTATAGAAACACAATAAAAAGAATAATAGTGGTACTGTCATGAGTATATATTTACTTAAATATATATCCCCGTCTCTCCACGTTTCTGTATACGTATATATATGTATATTCACGTGTAATCTTTTACATTCCTTACACACACACACACGCACGCAGTAACACGCGTTCTGAAGAAGCGAACGTCACTACAGAAAGACTTAACAAAAAAATACAGAAAGGTAGATGGTTAGAAAGCTCGACAGAGACCGCCTTTGACTACCATCCAAGATATACACATGAAATGGTTATCTATCCGTTCAAAATTCTATAATAACAGTAAAAATGTTCAGAAAATCAAATATGTGCACATAACATGAAAGATGCAACACAAAATGTTCCTTTGAGGACACAAGTGTGATATTTGAAGATGTTCGATTATAAAAGTTTACATTGTACGTTCTAACCACGTGCAAGACATTTTCGGCATTAAACACAGCACACAAGGCTTAGGAGTTGAATAAAAAATCTATAATTTCAAATGTGTTGAAGTTATTAGAAGAAGACAACCATTCGTAGGTAGAACATTTCTACTTATGCACTGCATCCTTTTCAGCAAAGAAAAACAAAAATAACGCCTTGTTTAACACTTTGCTTTCTGTATTTAAAGCGAAAAGAACGAGCATCTGTACATCAGGCGATGACGAAATGTTTTTGTCGGAGCACACGGTAACTTTACTTCCTTCGTACCTTCGGTAGACGGTGAGATATTTGATCAATCCCCGCGATGTAACCCGGTAACCGGTGCCGATACAGTCTCCTCGCCTTGCCGACAAATATTAGAACACATTAGTTGGTATAAATTTGGATTCAAATAATTCCATTCTCTTCAAGCGTTTCAACGTAATCAGATGTGTTTCCGTATCAGTGAAGGAACTGTGCACGTGCAAAAAGAAATCGCCCTCATGATTATGTTTCTGCACTCGTACTTCAGGGGAATTTTCTTGATTATTATAAACAGTCGAACTCTGTGTCGTTAGTTTTGGTGTATGAAGCAAAAGTAAAAATGTGAGAACTCAAAACGTAACAAAAAAAAAATCAAAACAACGAACATTTAATTTGATAAAATATTTGTGATATTAACAATTAATATACTACAAGGTTATTGGCCAACTTTTTTTTGGAATACCGAAGTAATCCAAAACGTTCTACATTTCAGAGTACATTATATATAACAAAACCCAAACCACTAAACCCAACTGGCTTCAGACGTCTGGACACAAACCTAGTTCATCATATTCAAACTCTATCATTTCAAGTAGAAAAAAAATTTAGTGACGAGAAACCGAAAAATGTGAACGGGACCACCTTAGCTGATGATATATATTTACCAATCCATGATAAAGCAACTGAGTAATCAAGGTTTTTCGTCCAAGACGTTTATCACCTGCACTAAGTATGCGTGCAAGAACCAAATAAAGAATTTTTTTTGTTCTTATTTATTATAGAAAACAAAAACTAGTGTCTATACAAAAAATTTTACCCATACAATCTGTGCTGTACAAGTAAATGTATATAACATGTATAACAAACGTTTTTTTTTCCTTACTACGCAACTGAGTACAATATCAACAAATACCACGATTGTATTAACATGTTAAAAAGTAATTTCGTTAATATAATATACCGTTATACTTGTATGTGAATATAAGCAATGAAGAGCATTTTAACACATCTTTACTTGTAAAACTGCCTTATTAACACTGAGTAATTTTTAAGTAGGGCTTTTTAATTATGACACTTATTCGTTTTATGATTTTCATCATAAACGTATTCAGCCAAAGTAATCGTGTTTTCATTAAAACAAGCACTCTGAAGTGCGTATGGTAATGTGTATTTTGTAGAGCGTTATATCATTAACTCAAAGTATAATTAGAATTCGAAAATGTTTAACTGTGTAAACTGCGGATAACTTTACGCCCCCCCCCCAGTGGCACGGCGGTATGTCTGCGGACTTACAACGCTAGAATCCGGGTTTCGATACCCGTGGTGGGCAGAGCACAGACAGCCCATTGTGCAGCTTTGTGCTTAATTGCAAACAAACAAAGAATAATTTTTACGTAGATGAAACTGACATATTATTGGTGAAGTTGACAATTTACGATTCCGGAAAATTTGCATCAACTTTGTCAAGGGAAAGTTGAAAGAACCAATTTTTCACATTGTTTGTCTGACCTTGTACACACACACACACAAAACTTTCAAGAATATATTCTAAGAAATTTTCAAACAACCTTAAATTCGAAGTATCTATAACAAATAACATCATAAATGCCAGCGTATCCATATTATATTTTAGAACTGTGTATAAAGGGCGGTTTTACTATGAAACCAGCAATCTTAAAAAAAACAAATTTTTGATGTACGTTGGAA